TAAAGTAGATTACTCCTCCTTATAAATCAGGCTTTTTCTTGTCTAATGCAGGTGTGAGACCCCTGAAATGTTATCTTAAGGTTCCTCCTCAGCCTGCCAATAAAAACATGTGCATGACCTGGTTAGCATGCTGTGTATGCAGCAAAAGCAACATCTCAAAACCTTCACTAATGTTTCAAAAGATTCAGATGGCTGAGCAGGTTTGAGCTGGACTTTTCTACAGCCCCCAGTATGTGCCTCAGTATGTATGTTGACTTCTGCACATACAAAACTCATGAACAAGGAAGAAGTTACTATGTAAGTACTGCAGATGCCAGTTCTTTTTCTTGTTGAAAAGGATAAATCTCGTCAATACATCTTGTGTTTTCTGCTTGAGGGTGAAGGCTCTATGGGAACAGAACTGGCATGTGAATTACTCCGCAAGCGCCGTTGGAATGATAGAATTTCAGAATAAACTGAGTTGCTGTAAACAGCCGTTTCAGTTCTTGAAATTTGCTTTTGCCAGCACCTGCAAGCATCAAGGCTGGACTTAATGCCTCCTCAAATTGCAGATGCTCTGTGGGTTGGGTCACTACAACAACGTGTCCATCTGTCCTCTGTAAATAATGCAAATAGTGTGCTCTGCTCTATTGTTTGGCTGTGTAGATACTGCATAGTGTGTTAGCCATCTGTGCATCACTACGACTCATAGAGGGGATGTTTAGGAGAGCATATTGAGGCAAGTATATAGGTTGCAGTAATGGAGCATTCTCTAGCATTGCTATAGTCTCTGCTGGAGGGACAGCTCAGTGACATTTGGTCCCTGGCACTGAGGACCTGGAGACTGTAGTTTTCCCAGAACTTCTGAAACCAAAGGCTGAAACAAGAGGACTGCTGATAGTAATTGTTAGGGGTTGTATGAGACTTAAGGAATACTTACAGGGGCTGAGAGTCCACTTCACAGTGGCTGAAGAATTTAATCTGTTCTTAGCTTGGTCCTAATTAAATGCCTTTTGATTTTATGCACTAGGAAGGTAATGTATGTTTTTTTCTCCTTTTCTTCCCCTCCTACACAACGCAGGAGCTGACAGAGTTCTGGCAAGGGAATTCCTACGTGTTGATTTTCTACAGAAATATTTACCCGCTCCCTCCTTCACTTCTCTTCAAATGTTTGCTTGCTGTAGCCATTCCCTAGCTTGTGTTTGAGAAAGTTTAAGGCCATGGCTCCCAAATTTTCCTCATGTGATCTACCAGCTTTTTGCCAGATACATGTTGTTAGAGTATCTAGCAGGGCCCAGGCAGTTATTTTCAGGACTTTTGACAGTTCTCTAATCTCTGTGAGTTGCTTTCTAATGGCCTGGTATACATCTCTTTAAATATCTGAGAAACATGTTCCAAAAGTCTTCCTATGGAAAATCTTAAAAGAACACAGGTAAGAAGACAGAGTTGGGAAGGACATGAAGCCCATGGTGCAAAGATGAAGAGGCTCTGGAAGTTTGCAGCCTAAACCACCTTGTGAGAGTTGAAAGGATCACTGAACAAACTAAAGAGATCAAGCTAACAGAATCACTGAACAAACTAAACAGGCTTGTGGTGTGTCAGCGTTTCTCCATGAGAAGCTGTCATTAGCCTCCGATGTAGCTGTCGGTGCTAAAGGTAACTTGGTAAATGACTTTTTGCTGAGCTGGTTCTTGTGCAATTTCAGATGTAGCCATTAAAGGTGATTCTATGCTTTTATATGCATTAGAAAGCTAGCATTCATTTCCTGGTCAAAATCTCCCCTGGGTATTTTTATTCTCCATTAACATTCCTTCTGGGGATTGGATTCGGGTCCTTTGCTTCCTGTCCTGTTCCTGTTCAGATGTTAATCAGCTGTTGCTTTCTATTCCAGTTAAGTGTTAGTGATGTTAGTGTTTCTTGAGCAATGCTGATCTGTCCTGGCTTTTATAAAAGGGTTTGGGAAGCTAAGCTCCTCTTTGCTTTGTTAAGAGAGTAAATAATAAAAATGCATACTTAAGGATATGGAGTGCAACTGACTTAGGGGGACTGGGATCTTTGTATTGTGGAAGGAGGGAGTGGGAGTGTAAGGAAAGTGCTATTCTGATTATTTTTAAGAGACTTCCACAGGTTGCAGTGGATGTGACAGACACATGATATGTCCAGTTCAAGAAGAACTATGTAAGACTGTAGAATCTAGGGATTTCATTTTCTTTGGAAATATGTTAGGTGATAAGTACGGCTTGTTACATGGCCTGTTGTTCAACAGCTAGCCTGATCCCTTTTTCTTGATAGCTCTTGGAATTGTTCCCATGCAGGGAACAGAGGTTTCTGCCTAACAGTCAAGGTTAATTGGTATGGAAAACTGAAACTCTATTTTAATCCAAGAGTCACTATAATGCTATTACTTAGATCCGAATCGTGAGCATTAATGTACAAGCAGAACGAGATGCGAGTTTGTGCACTGGGAGCTGTCATCCTTTTATTTTAAAATGAGCTTCAAGGTAGCCAGCAGCAGAATGGACCTGAATGTATTTTTAATCAAGGTGCTGTCTCTGAATTAAAAGACTCTCTCATTAAATGTTAAAGGATCCTTTAATAACCTTGCAGTCCTTTTTCATTGTGCTTGGCACCAGCAGTCTAGAGGTGCTGCTTTTAACTTTACCCAGCTTGTTCTTCTGTCCTGGACAAGACCTCTTGATGCAGTTGTTACTGCATCATCCATCTCGCTGATTAGTTGTCTTGGTCGGGCTTACTGCAGCAGCTTCTCATGTAGGTCTGGCTTGAGACACGTGGAGGCTAAGGTTGCATCTGTCCATAAGCACAGGAAGGCAACTGGACAAGTCTGTCTTGCTTTTGCTTCTCAGGATACTCGTGAAGAGACATTGCCTCCTAAAGCAGGATGTGCCAATGTCCTGTATTGAGTATGCATTCAGAGTATAGGCTGGACCAAAGACAGTGAAAATTCTCATTTAGCTGTGCCGCCACATCAGATGCGTGGCACAGGACATTAGCAGCATTTTTTTTACATGTGGGTATTGTATTTGGAGGTTTTTTTGAGTACTCTGACTTGGTGATAGCCAATGAATGTTTCTGCAGTGTTGCATTAGAAACAAATGTGTCTGTGATTGTGTTACGGAGTGTATTTTCTCTGTCATACAAGTTTATCTTTTGGAATAAGGAGCAAGCTTAAAGGAATGCTGCTTTTAGAAGGAAAAGACTGGAAAGATAACACAATGCCTGAAATAAGAAACTTTCTCTGCAACATAATCACTATATTTCTGTTGAGGAAGGGAGACTGCTGAGCCTGAACACTGGTAAGCTGGCTGTTTCCTAGGGTCAGAAAAAGCAACACAAGGGAAGGTGATAATGAGGAAAACCCTGCAAGTCCTCTGCCTCTTTGCAGAGAATGTTCAGCTACAGCAAGCAGGCAGAAACTGTGTGTATCCTAGAACCAAACCTAATACTTTTAGCTGCCTCAGGCCTCAAGGGATTTGCCAAGTATCAGGAAGACAGTAAGTGTCTACAGATGTCACTACTTTTCCTTTAGTGCTTTCCTCTTTTGTCTCAAAGGGTTCCTATTTGGACCTTTTTTTTGTATGTTATGGTCCCCTTCCTTGTTACTGGAGACAAAATAGTGCTAACAGAATGGGTGGTGGTAGTTCTGTGGGCCCTGCACAGAATAGTCTAAGCAATTCTGTGCTAGATCACATCTGTTCCTGGTGTGTGGTAAATGGTTTGCCTTTCCCAGATCACACAGGGAACATGTCTCCCCTGCAAGTGGGGAGGGTGGATTTTACACCAAGAGATGCTCTCTGGCAAAAACAAGTAGAGTCAAGCTTGTATACTGCCTGTGCAGCTGCACTAAGGCACTGTCACTGCACTCCCTCACTGTGAAGAGGAAAGAGGTTGTATGTGTTTTGTCTTTGTGGGATATGGAGGAATCCTCAGCTCTTTGCATTAACAAGGCAAATTGTTAGGTTTCCACTGCAGTTTTCTGACCCTTTGTGTGTTCATATCTGTTTGCCTGGAAGATGTGGCTATTGCTGATGCTGATCAGGGTGAGCCCAAGCCTTGTAGCCCCAATGAGCCATTCTACTGAAGCTGTAACTGTCAGTGAGCTTAGAAATAAAACTGAAACTACAGTGGGTAGTAGCTAGAAGACAGTAGAATTGGAGCTACTCCTACTGCATACAGTAGCCTGCTAGGAAGAGGACTGTGAATGTTAAGGAACGTTACTGATGAGAGATGGAAAGGGTAGGTAAAAGGGACCAGAAGGTTAAGTTTCCTCTTGTATTACAGTGCTAATTAGAATAGCTGAAGAGCTGCTTCCTGCTGTAGCTACAGGCTAAAGCTGAGCTTCTACAGAGTAGTCAGAATGTGAATGAGCAAGTTCCTTCAGAGAGAGACTTGGGGATAGTGTGGTAAGCAGAATTAGTGCCACCTTCTATTTCTGGATGTTACCGATACCTATTTCTGCTTTGGAGCACGAGGTCTATTTATTCTGCAGAGAGTATCGGCTGCTCTCTGAGCAGAGGTGTGGAGAATTGAGCCACCTTGGATTCTCTGTCTGTGGTAGCAAAGGATGCCCAGGTATTGTAGGCAGGGAGGGCTTAACTGTGCTTTTCAGTGCAGGGAGGTCTGCAGAACAAATTAGGTGCTGTGGCAGGGTGGTTGGAGCAGAATGACTGACTGGATACCTGGTGTTGGACAGGAATGCAGGTGGGGAAGCAGTGATCCCTGGAGCCATCTAGAAGAAAACAGCTGCCTTTCAGAGGTCAGTTACTGGTCTGCACAGGCATCCTGGTCAGTGGAGACATTGTTAAAAGACCTTCCTTTTCTCGGACACAGTGAAGACAAGGAGCTTATTTCAGTGGAGGATCCTGGCATTAGATAGTAGTCTGATGTTGCAGCCTCCTGCACTCCTGCCCTGGCACCTGGCTGCGGGTTGCTTTGCGCGTGCCTAGCTGTTTCCATGTGTTGTGCTGATAGGTGACTGACACCAGGTTTCCTTTCTCATGTTTCAGGAGCTGTTGGCCAGATGCTGCTGGATGCTGTCAGGGGAAAGCTGATTCGGAGACAAGCGGCCAGAAATGTTTGGACACGTCGTCATTTTGCATCTGTAAGTCCTTGTTTGAGGGAAAGTTGCCTGGAGGCACTGCGAGTATTTAAGTGTCTCTGGAAATTCTCAGGTCATGAGGGTAGGTTTCAAATCCCGGTATCTTTTCCTGGTAGGTGGGGATGAGATGGCATGTAGCGTAGCTGCTGGCTCTGAGGTAGGAAGCAGGACAGTCCTGTTTGAGCCTGAGGAACTGTGTGCTGAGAGACAGGAAGGCCTTTGGCATGTTCATTCTGAGCACCTGTGCAATGGAAACATGTGTGGACCCACGGGTGCAGCTGTTCCTGGAAGCTTCTGCTTGTCTGCCAGCCCATGTGGCTGGTGGTTTTGCCATGGTGCTGAACCAGCTCCTGCTGGGAGTTGGTGGAAAAGCAGATTCAAACTATGCTGGCCTGGTCCTTCCTGGAGGTGCATGTTCTCACTCTCCCTCTCTCTCTCTCTCTTTCTCCCCTGTACTTTACAGCTTTGCCCTGCAGAGCAGTTATGCTGTTGTGAAGCTGTTTTTTTCCTGTGCTAGTCAAGACCCGACTATAGTATTGTAGTAAGGAAAGGGGCCAGACAACTTGTTGGGGCAGGGCCAGCACTAGGGCACCTCTTCAATTTGTTTTGGCAAAGCTTGAGTTTGCGTGGTCTTGGTTGCCTGCCTGTTCCATTCATCTTCAATCTGTCTCTCCCTGTGTGTAGAACTGCTCCACACCCTGTGCTCCTATCCCGCCTCCCAGGGCTTGGTGCCATTGACAGGGGAAACACAGCACAGCAGCAGAAGTGCATCAGGGAAGGGAAGGCTCCATTGCAGTCTCTGTTGTGCCAGTGGCAGAGTGATGGCCACAGAGCTATGCTCTTACAGCTGGCTCCAAGATAAACCAATTCTCTTCTTGTAGTGATGGGTACCCTGGGCTTTGAACAGAGAGGAAGGTTGTTTCTGAACTTCTGTTGTATCCCTGATTAGCTGGACACTATTTTACAGAAGCCTGTTAGCAGCTAGGTAGAGTATGGCATGCTGCTTGCTGGAAGTCAGAGAGTAGCATGCCTTCCTGTCTTGTGGAGGTGTGAGTTATCGCAGCTGTAGGCACAAGGACGTAATGTTTTGGCTCAAACAAGAGTCTGATAATTGCCAGCTCATTTGTAGATGAGAAGCACTGACTTAAAAGTACGAGTGAGGTAATTGTTAGCATTACCAAACTTCTGTACCGAAGGCTTCACAGTTAGCATCCCTCTGCAGTAGTGGGGAAAATTAGCTGGGAGGATCCCATTTCACAGGAGGTTTGTTTAGTCCTTCCTGGAACCAAGGTTCGCTTGAAGCTATTGCTTCATGAATTTTGAGTTTGTGTGGTCCCAGTTGCCTGAGTGCCTTGGAAATGTCCTTGCCAGGTGCCTTTCCAGTTCTTGCTGGACTATGTGGCCAAACTATCCTAAGATAATTTCATTTACTTTCAGAAGATCCAATGTGGGTTAGGGCAGGTACCTGGAGTGAGATGACCATCCAGTTGTCCTTGGTTATAAACATTCCCTATTCCTTACATACTTATGGGGTGAGATTTCCAAGTGGCTGTTTTGATGGATGCTAAGCTATTTATTTCTCCTCTTCAGAGCATCTGAGTGAGTGTCCCTGCTTCATGAGGCTTCAAATTTGAGCCCAGGCTGGTAAGTGCTCAGGTCCTTGTGGGCTAGAGAAATTATTGTGATTTCGGCTTGGGATAGCTCCATGTGCATCTTCTCTCCTTAGCCTGGCAGGAATTGACAGAAAAGTCCCCTTTGGTGGGGGGGTGTTGACAAACCTGCTTCTGGTCAGGATTTCAGCATTCCTCTTTGAAGAAGAGAAATGTCTTCCCAGCAAGTCAGACCCATCTGTTTTGCTTGGGGATGCAGTGGAATGTGAATTTGGTATGCTGGATGTGATTTTTCTGAAGTATTAGAGAATTCTTCGCCTACTTGAGCCTTTTTAGGAGAAGGGAGCTTGAGGGAATGACTGCAGCAAGGGGGATTTTCCAGCATTCTGATGATGGAGATTTACAGGTTAGTTCTAGGAAATTGTTCATGTCTGTAGAAAGGCACGAGAAACTTTTGTGAGCTTGTGTTTTTAGCAGAGTGGAAGACAGCTTGCAAATGTTTCTGTGAATTGTAAAGCCTGTTGTGGCTTGAAGCCACTCTGTGCTTGGTGCAGACACCTCATACTTGCCAGTCTAAGCATCAAGAAGATGCAGCTAGGCAAGAGTGGATAAGAATTGGAGAGAATTCTTGGGGCTCCATTTAGACACTTAACATGTAAAACTCCACTGGCCAAAACACAAAGCAAGTGAAGTCTGCTAGGTCACTGGCCCAGTTGTATCCATTGCCTGCCTTGAAGATATGTGAATGGGAGTAAAATGTCCCTACCTGTACAAGAGGGGAGAGGGTGACCTGAGTTGAGGCAGGTCCTGCACTTTGAGCTGCTGCAGGTCAGGTGCTGAGGATTGCAGAGATGCTAGGCTTGATCAGTGTTAGGCTCCAGCAAGGGAAAGGGGAGTGAGAAGTTGGCACTTACCCCAAATATAGGGGAACAATGAAAGATGCATGTGTTGTCATCAGGGAAAGTCTGGTATTGGGCTCTGCAGGGACTGGTTGGCATCTCTGAGACTTCTTGTCTTGTGTACAACAGGGTGGTTGAAATCCTGGCTGCTTCAGGGGACGTCTTCCTGCCCTCTACTGCAGTCCTAAAGTGGTGGAAAGGAAAGAGATTCTTCCATGTGTACAAGATAGCTGCTTTCCTTCTACCCCGTTTTTTGTTCTTGTACTGCTGCTGCTCCTGCAGCAGGAAGAATCCTGCCCAGCATGGCTGGGGTAAAGGGACTAATCTAGCCTTTCTGCTAGTGGTACTGCTACATGTTGCAAAATCTTGCCTTGGGTACCAACATCACTGGCATTGCTTCCTAATTTGATGCCCCCTGTGACTTGGGGGTGGTCTGTCTTTTCTGACAGACTGAGCAGTTGTAATGGTATGATACCTCCTTCTGACAAGCATCCTGTGGTCTTCTCCATTGGGGTTCCAGTGTAAGCCAAAAACTTATGGGTTTGGGCTCTTTAATGGCTGGAGTCTCCTCCCACATAGTCCCTGCTGACAGTGATAGCATATGATCAATAACTCCTGCTCCAACTGTCACTGCTGCCTGTAAGGCTTGCAGTTTCCATATTGGAAAAGGCCTTTCCTAAAGAGCCTAATCAATATGCTGTTGTGAGGTCTGTTCTCAGTTGCTATATATAATCTGGACACACACAAACTACGTGAGTGAGCGTGTGTGGCGGGGGGAGAGGATGTGCCAGCCCTCTGCTCTCACTGGCTGGGAGAAGGACACAGCTACCTTTTACTTTGCTCCCTCTCCTGCAGCTGCTGCTCAAGGCTTGTGGCCACATCCTGTCCCTGCTCTGTTAGCACTCTGCATGGGGACCTGCTCTGGGACTCCAGGGGAGCCAGACTCTTGGTGGGTGACTTCTA